ATTGTCCTCATATCCCAGCCTATTGTCCTCATATCCCAGCTTATTGTCCTCATATCCCAGCCTATTGTCCTCATATCCCTTCCATGTGCTAAAATTCATACTGGCTTAGCGTTTTATCCTCATTATGTTTGGTGTTAATGTTATGTTTGTTTACACTTGTTGATGAGAGCTGTGTTTGTTTACACGTGTTGATGAGAGCTGTGTTTGTTTACACGTGTTGATGAGAGCTGTGTTTGTTTACACGTGTTGATGAGAGCTGTGTTTGTTTACACGTGTTGATGAGAGCTGTGTTTGTTTACACGTGTTGATGAGAGCTGTTTGTTTACACGTGTTGATGAGAGCTGTGTTTGTTTACACTTGTTGATGAGAGCTGTGTTTGTTTACACGTGTTGATGAGAGCTGTTTGTTTACACGTGTTGATGAGAGCTGTGTTTGTTTACACTTGTTGATGAGAGCTGTGTTTGTTTACACGTGTTGATGAGAGCTGTGTTTGTTTACACGTGTTAATGAGAGCTGTGTTTGTTTACACGTGTTGATGAGAGCTGTGTTTGTTTACACGTGTTGATGAGAGCTGTGTTTGTTTACACTTGTTGATGAGAGCTGTGTTTGTTTACACGTGTTGATGAGAGCTGTGTTTGTTTACACGTGTTGATGAGAGCTGTGTTTGTTTACACGTGTTGATGAGAGCTGTGTTTGTTTACACGTGTTGATGAGAGCTGTGTTTGTTTACACGTGTTGATGAGAGCTGTGTTTGTTTACACGTGTTGATGAGAGCTGTGTTTGTTTACACGTGTTGATGAGAGCTGTGTTTGTTTACACGTGTTGATGAGAGCTGTGTTTGTTTACACGTGTTGATGAGAGCTGTTTGTTTACACGTGTTGATGAGAGCTGTGTTTGTTTACACTTGTTGATGAGAGCTGTGTTTGTTTACACGTGTTGATGAGAGCTGTGTTTGTTTACACTTGTTGATGAGAGCTGTGTTTGTTTACACGTGTTGATGAGAGCTGTGTTTGTTTACACGTGTTGATGAGAGCTGTGTTTGTTTTACACGTGTTGATGAGAGCTGTGTTTGTTTACACGTGTTGATGAGAGCTGTGTTTGTTTACACGTGTTGATGAGAGCTGTGTTTGTTTACACGTGTTGATGAGAGCTGTGTTTGTTTACACTTGTTGATGAGAGCTGTGTTTGTTTACACGTGTTGATGAGAGCTGTGTTTGTTTACACTTGTTGATGAGAGCTGTTTGTTTACACGTGTTGATGAGAGCTGTTTGTTTACACGTGTTGATGAGAGCTGTTTGTTTACACGTGTTGATGAGAGCTGTTTGTTTACACGTGTTGATGAGAGCTGTTTGTTTACACGTGTTGATGAGAGCTGTGTTTGTTTACACGTGTTGATGAGAGCTGTTTGTTTACACGTGTTGATGAGAGCTGTTTGTTTACACGTGTTGATGAGAGCTGTTTGTTTACACTTGTTGATGAGAGCTGTGTTTGTTTACACGTGTTGATGAGAGCTGTGTTTGTTTACACGTGTTAATGAGAGCTGTGTTTGTTTACACGTGTTGATGAGAGCTGTGTTTGTTTACACGTGTTGATGAGAGCTGTGTTTGTTTACACTTGTTGATGAGAGCTGTGTTTGTTTACACGTGTTGATGAGAGCTGTGTTTGTTTACACTTGTTAATGAGAGCTGTGTTTGTTTACACGTGTTGATGAGAGCTGTGTTTGTTTACACGTGTTAATGAGAGCTGTGTTTGTTTACACGTGTTGATGAGAGCTGTGTTTGTTTACACGTGTTAATGAGAGCTGTGTTTGTTTACACGTGTTGATGAGAGCTGTGTTTGTTTACACGTGTTGATGAGAGCTGTGTTTGTTTACACGTGTTAATGAGAGCTGTTTGTTTACACTTGTTGATGAGAGCTGTGTTTGTTTACACTTGTTGATGAGAGCTGTGTTTGTTTACACGTGTTGATGAGAGCTGTGTTTGTTTACACGTGTTAATGAGAGCTGTTTGTTTACACTTGTTGATGAGAGCTGTGTTTGTTTACACTTGTTGATGAGAGCTGTGTTTGTTTACACGTGTTGATGAGAGCTGTGTTTGTTTACACGTGTTGATGAGAGCTGTGTTTGTTTACACGTGTTGATGAGAGCTGTGTTTGTTTACACTTGTTGATGAGAGCTGTGTTTGTTTACACGTGTTAATGAGAGCTGTGTTTGTTTACACGTGTTGATGAGAGCTGTGTTTGTTTACACGTGTTAATGAGAGCTGTTTGTTTACACGTGTTAATGAGAGCTGTGTTTGTTTACACTTGTTGATGAGAGCTGTGTTTGTTTACACGTGTTGATGAGAGCTGTGTTTGTTTACACTTGTTGAAGAGAGCTGTGTTTGTTTACACGTGTTAATGAGAGCTGTTTGTTTACACTTGTTGATGAGAGCTGTGTTTGTTTACACGTGTTGATGAGAGCTGTTTGTTTACACTTGTTGATGAGAGCTGTGTTTGTTTACACGTGTTAATGAGAGCTGTTTGTTTACACGTGTTAATGAGAGCTGTAATTAACTAAGTGTAATTACCTAAGTGTAGTTACAGGATGAGAGCTACGCTCGTGGTGTCCCGTCTTCCCAGCACTCTTTGTCATATAACGCTATAACAGCTGTGTTTGCTTACACGTGTTGATGATATATATTTTTGCTTACAGGTCCGCAGCTTCAGGCTCAGATAACAAAGCTACAGACGCATCTCGGCAACATTACAGGCGACGTTAGCAGGCTAGACGGTCGCCACTCCGCCGTGGACAGTCGACTCAACTCCTTCGAAGACCGGCTGAGAAACTTAGACAGAAATAAAAACGAAGCTAATTCACGAACAACGGCCTTGGAGACGAGGGTGAGCGGTCTCCAGGGGTCAGACTCCACCTTGAGGCACTTAACCCAGCGTCTGTCTACCCTTGAGAATAACACGGGACACCTCAACCTCGAACTGAAGACGTTCAAGGAATCGTTCCAGCTCCGCGCGGACGACCTCCAGGTGAAGCTCGGGGACTTGGAGGACCGGCTGAAGCAGCGAGACTTTACCAGGACCACAGGAGACCAGTTGGTTGGCAGGTAAGGCTCTTGAGAATCTTAAGTATCAACAAATTATTGCTATAAGCATTATTATGCGTATGAAGACAGCCTGCATGAGGGAAATTCAAATGGTGCAAACAGTTTGAGAGAGAGAGAGAGAGAGAGAGAGAGAGAGAGAGAGAGAGAGAGAGAGAGAGAGAGAGAGAGAGAGAGAGAGAGAGAGAGAGAGAGAGAGAGAGAGAAAGAGAGAGAGAGAGAGACGTTCCAGCTTATAATAATACGTCCCCCCCCCCCGGCCTTAAACAACAACCATAGAATTATATGGAACTTTAACGCTGCCACCATAAATTTATATATTCTTTATATAATTATTATTATTATAATTATCTTGATTTGGGTAACCGGGGGTGAGATAAAGGAGAAAACAGGTCTTAATATCCCTACACGTGCTTTGTGAAGACACCTTATAGGAAACTCTTGGGGCAAGAGTCCTGGCTCTTTACAGCTCGAGTAACTCAAAAGCTCTTGGTGTCACAGTAGAGGGGAAAGAAGGAAGGAAGGAGTGAAATAGTGCACACTCTGAACACTTAAGTAATGATAACATGTTTACTGATAATTAAAGGACATTGACTCACTCAAGGAGGGAGTAAACGACGTTTAGACACTAGCTTAAGACATCAAAGTTTAAAAAGCCCAACCGGTTATTGAATTAATTTAAAGAGATATCTTAACTAAACGTGTCCTACTTGAGGCAATAGAATTCGTGTTGACCGAAGAGAACAGGAAATCACTACTTTCAACATTCAGTTAAAAGTCAAGATCCCACTCCACTCCTCAAGAGGTTATGATAATTGCTTACTAAATTGCAACAATCCAAGTTCTCACCTGTCTCTGATCCCGTGTTCTATACAAGTGCCGGGAGCCGTGAGGTTCTACGGTATCTGCTTTGATCGTGACTAGTAATCCCAAGTGGATTAGCAAGAAGGGTATTAGAACACTAAATCTACAGGATTTAGTGTTCCAGTAGAGTCTGGGTTCCTGTATTAGTTTAGCTCATTTCTAGCACTAAACTGGTTTGTTTTTTTACAGCCTGGGAACGGACAACGTATCTGATATATATAAAAACTTGGGTAGTTTTATGCCTGGAAGTCCAGCCATTCCAGCAGGACTGATGGGCCCACCTGGAGACCATGGTGGACATGGAAGCCAAGGAGCTCCCGGTGGCCGAGGAGGCCAAGGAGCCCCAGGAGGTCGAGGGGCCCCAGGAGGTCGAGGGGCCCCTGGAGGCCAAGGGGCCCCTGGAGGCCAAGGAGCTCCAGGAAGTCCAGGGCTCCCAGGAGCACCAGGTGTCCCAGGAACTCCCGGTGCCCCAGGAGGTCGAGGGGCGCCGGGAGGTCGCGGTCCCCCAGGAGGACGAGGGGCCCCGGGAAGTCGAGGAGCCCCAGGAGGACGAGGAGCCCCAGGAAGTCGAGGAGCCCCAGGAGGTTCTGGTCTTCCAGGTTCGCCAGGTGGTGCTGGAAGTCCTGGACTTGCAGGTCCAGCAGGATAAGAAATCGCTTGAGATCACACAAGCTCCACGGAGCCACACCAGCTGATGACCGCCTCTCTCAACTGACACAACAACCCCCCCAATCCTTTCCTCCTGATGTACTGTCCCCCTACGTCACCCTCCTGACGTATTGTCCCCCCTACGTCACCCTCCTGACGTACTGACTGATAATCTACGACACGCACCCACAGTCACGGTACGTCGCCATACCCACTACTAACACAGTTCGTAAGATACGGCAGTCATTATGAACGGCCCTTCGATGAATACTATTCACTTGTCGCCTTAAAGAACATATTCATCAGACATCGTCAAACAGCTTCTGAGAAAAGTGTTGAGTATCTATCTGTATTATTTAGATAAATAATACATTATTATTATCACATACCAAAAGAATAGGGGGTGGTAGGAGAAGAAAATATCAAAGTGTTCAGTGAGGAGCCACAAGGTCTTCTCTGAGTACTCTTTATTTTCTTCTCCGAAGCTATGGGTCCCTACACTTGCACGAGAGGTGGTACCCCTTCTAGGTATAAATTATTATTATTTATAAGAAATTCTTAATATTTATCGAGTATTATTTATATTGCATTGTCTTCACTTTATAATGACAGGTAATCACATAGGTGATTATAAATTCAACATTTTCTCTCTCTACATGTTAAAATTGTGAACACAAATACACTTATTGCATTATACTTCACTCTTATAATGCTTTGATTTTGATGATAATAACAATTATACAAATATACCAGTATAATACCAGTATAAAACCTGACTCTTCCAGGTGTGGTTAAGCTATTTCATCTCATAATACAACTGACATACTTAGCACCTTAGGGCAGTATTGTCTAGGACATGTATTGCAAAGATGACATGTAAACTGGTACTGCAGTAAATTAGGAGGTCAAGGGTGATTGAGCAACAGCAGTGTTGACCCCTCCGTCAATAACAGAGGTCAGGAGAGACTGATCAACAACAGTATTGACCCCTCCGTCAATAAAAAAAAACTCTTGACTGTTATTTGAGGAATATCCAAGACTGAAAGGGTTAAATCAAAGTGCCGGCCCCGATTGAAGACAAAAATCTTCCTTAATTCGCAACTTCATGGATACTTTGAATTAAAGAACTTCGTTAACAAAGCGAATGACCTCGCTTGAGAGGGAAGACTGCTGTAAACAGCTAATGGCCCCTTAACCATCAGATTTAACAGTACCCTTATCAATAAGATCCAAATCTGGAATTAAGATCCGAAGCGGCTCATGACAATCCAAGTGACGTTCATGCCGATAAGCATTCCAATACTCTATATATATCTCTCATGGAGGAGTTTGTTTCCTCTTTAATTAGTTTACTTAAACCAAAAGCTGCCCACCAAATTTGAAATCCCAATTTTAATGTATACAACCCAAAAAATTATATATATATAATATAAAATAATATAAAATCTCCAAGGCCTTGAAAAATATTGAGGCTATTTAATGGGATTGAACCAGCGTTCTTGGGAATACATCAGTCTTCCCTGGTGTTCTTGAGAAAGCCTGATTAGGTCTACTCCATATAGCTGAAAATCCTACCCACTTCGACAACTACTGACCAATACCTTACACGTTATCTTGAATATTTTATAAACTTTTAAAATGACCAACTTTAAATCTTAGCTAAACATAACATGATTTGACCCCCAAAAATAACATACTGTTTGACCCCCCAAACACTCAAGTTATGTATTATTGAATTAGCCCAAATGACACCGAATACAGACACGTAGCCAAAGAGCCTAACCAAGCCTATCCTAGGCCTAATAAGCACTCGTAGGCCTACGAGTGTCTAAATTTGGCTTTAGCTTTTTCCCCTCTAACTTTATAAAGTGAATAGTACAAAACGAACACTTTTAGGGGTCCAAGAGTCCATTTTTGTACATTTCCCCAAACATTTCCTCTAATATAATTTTTGGCGTATTGGGTTGTATTATAAATATTCTTGACTTTCTACATTCATCTCTTGATAAATTAAGTACCGACAGGAATGGTTGACCTTTGAAAGGACGTTTGTACCGCTGCTGACTGTGACCTTCTCCATAAGTTACATTAATCCTGGAAAAAAAAAATCTTGCCCAGAGGACACTGATGTCAAAATAAGACATAAATATTATTACTCAGCCAATCAGCAAGTTTATTTTAGCTCTGAATATATAGTCTTGGACTAAGTAAACTGGGTAAACTGAGTGCATATTTCCTCAGCGATAAATGAGGTATACCTCTGTGTATATCCCTGAGATTACACTGTAGTATTATGAACATTCAATAACAATTAAATTGTATATTAAGAAATAGCATATTAATTAGCATCAATTATCTTCCTAACAACATTGTTAATGAAGGCCCATAATTATTTAATTAATATAAAATCTGCAAATGTAATTAATTTAGCCAAAGGAATAAGCGACAGTAATATAACATTATTATATTTCAAGACTTTCCTGAAATGACAGGAGAAAATATTGATTTTTTTTTCTAATATAAAACAAAAAATATTTTATTGCGAATATAAGCTTTGTAACATATTCATTGTATATTTTTGTATAAATAAATATTATCGTATCATTATCGTTTAGCTTCCTGTATGTGCATAAACTTTGAAGTCAAAACTGCAAAAAGGTTGTTTCTGCTGGAAAAGTTTTCTGATACTGGATCAGCCTGGCTGTGATGGTTAGGTGGGGCTTCAGGGTACGAAGATAAATAGGCTCACACACACACACACACCAAATAATCGTCAGCGAAGGCTGGTTAAACAACCCATCCTCCTAATTGAACGTCGCAATTAGGAGGACGGAATTTTTCCAAGGTTACTTTCCCCCTGTACGACTTGAATCACCAACAGCGCCATCGTGTTATTTAATTGTTTAGTTTCCCATGATTTAGGTGTTTGGTGCTCTCTTTTTTGAGGTAGGATGTGTTTTATAATTATCTGTTTAAATGTGATACTAAATATACAAATTGTGCATGTATTATTTTATAATATTTGAGTTTCTTTATAATGTTTTTTATCTATTTACATGGGTAAGTAAACAAGGATTGATTTAATTTGTACTTGCATAGAATCTTTGAATATTTAGGAGTTTAATTGTGATTTTTTATTTAGTCCTTATTGTCGATCGTTGTAATTATAATAGTCTTATTACTTAAGTTATTATTTGGATTTATCAGCTTCGTGTATTCCTTATAGGTATCATTTTCGTCTTGTACTAAGGTAAGTTTGTGTTGGGAACAAGTTGGCTATTAATTTGAATAACAATATGCTAAATGGATTAATTACGCTGAATTAATGCACTTAACGTAAAATAATAACTTATTTATCGTATTCATTTAATTTACTTTTGTTCTGGTTCCACTGTAACTGAAAAAAATATAGAAAACGGGGATACCATTTTCTTTATTAACAAGTTTAATGGGGGGGACTTAAAGGATTGTGGGGACATGTTTAATGATCCCGTCTTTGATAAATATTTTAATAATTGATTGTGTAGGGGGACAGGCAGCCAGTTTATATATACAGTACATGTTACGCTGATATCGAGGTCCCCGCCCAGGGTCGAATTACTGACTCTCCCCTGGATGCAACTCCACAACAAGCTAACTTAACTCCTGGGCCACCTGTTCAATGCTAGGTGAACAGGTGCATTAGGTACTCACCTAGTTGCGGGGGTTGAGCTCTGGCTCTTTGGTCCCGGCTCTCAACTGTCAATCAACTGGTGTACAGGTTCCTGAGCCTACTGGGCTCTATCATATCTACATTTGAAACTGTGTATGGAGTCAGCATCCACTACATCACTGCCTAATGCATTCCATCCGTTAACTATTCTGACACTGAAAAAGTTCTTTCTTACGTCTCTGTGACTCATTTGGGTACTCAGTTTCCACCTGTGTCCCCTTGTTCGCGTCCCACCAGTGTTAAACAGTTTATCTTTATCTACCCTGTCAATTCCTCTGAGAGTTTTGTAGGTAGTGATCATGTCTCCCCTTACCCTTCTGTCTTCCAGTGTCGTAATGTGCATTTCCCGCAGCCTTTCCTCGTAACTCATGCCTCTTAGTTCTGGGACTAGTCTAGTGGCATACCTCTGAACTTTGTCTAGCTTCGCCTTGTGCTTGACAAGGTACGGGCTCCATGCTGGGGCCGCATACTCCAGGATTGGTCTTACATATGTGGTATACAAGGTTCTGAAGGATTCCTTACACAGGTTTCTGATGACTGCTCTGATGTTAGCCAGCCTCGCATTCCTAGGCGATAAGAAGCGCGCCCAACCATTTCTGTCCCGCCCGGGATTCGAACCAGGAATTCTCGAAGCATTTAAAATACTTCTGGAGAGAATAAGGAGTTGTAAGGCAGCAGGCAGTGTAGCCTCAATGTCTCGAGTTCAGTTAGGCAGGATATAAATGTTTGGAGGGCGTTTTCTTTCCTTTAATGCCTCTGTTCACCTAGCAATAGATTTTTTGGGGAGTTGGGCAACTGTTGTGGGATTGCGCTCTCTCTCTCTCTCTCTCTCTTTTTCTCTCTTTCTCTCTCTTTCTCTTTTCTCTCTCTCTCTCTATCTCTCTCTCTCTCTCTCTCTCTCTCGTTTCAAAGCCCCGCCCTCACTGATGACGTCACAGGTCAGGTTGCCAAGCCATTCTTTTATCCCCATATTTATTAAATTACAGTATTAAATTATCACTCAATTGACACATTTTAAATGGTTGAAAAGTTCAAATTTTTGGGGTAGATTAATGTTGTGACAGAAGCGGGGTTGGTGTGCTGTACACAGATGTATTATTGAGTGGTGCAGCATTTAGCTAATCCCCTTGCTGTGATTGGCTGTCGTGAGAATGTCAACAAAGAGTTTCTACCAATGAAATCCAAGCGCGGGAATGCTCTCTCTTCAGCACAAGGACCAGCCTTATGGGCTGCTGTTGGCCTGTTCACAGTTCGATGTTCTCCCAACAGATGGCATCACCTGTTACGTGCGCCTGTTGTTGTTGATAGTGTAATTTTATCCCAACAGATGGCATCAGCTGTTACGTGCGCCTGATAGTGTATTTTTATCCTAATAGATGGCATCAGCTGTATCTTAAGGCCTGCTGTTAAGGGCCTGTTGATAGTGCAATTTTCTGCGGATAGATGGCATCAGCTGCATTATATACCCCCGTAGCTTATAGTTAAATAACCTGCTATTATAATATACTATAAATAACCTACTATAACCTGCTGGTATTATTTTTAATGAACACATTCTGGGAGCTCTGCATTTTACTTTATTCATTCTTGTGGATATTATTATATTGCGTTTTTTTTTACAATTTGCGATTGAAGAAGAGCTCACAGTAGAGTAAGCGGCCCGTCACAGTAGAGTAAGCGACCCGTCACAGTAGAGTAAGCGACCCGTCACAGTAGAGTAAGCGGCCCGTCACAGTAGAGTAAGCGGCCCGTCACAGTAGAGTAAGCGGCCCGTCACAGTAGAGTAAGCGGCCCGTCACAGTAGAGTAAGCTACCCGTCACAGTAGAGTAAGCGGCCCGTCACAGTAGAGTAAGCGGCCCGTCACAGTAGAGTAAGCGACCCGTCACAGTAGAGTAAGCGACCCGTCACAGTAGAGTAAGCGGCCCGTCACAGTAGAGTAAGCGGCCCGTCACAGTAGAGTAAGCGGCCCGTCACAGTAGAGTAAGCGACCCGTCACAGTAGAGTAAGCGACCCGTCACAGTAGAGTAAGCGGCCCGTCACAGTAGAGTAAGCGGCCCGTCACAGTAGAGTAAGCGGCCCGTCACAGTAGAGTAAGCGACCCGTCACAGTAGAGTAAGCGACCCGTCACAGTAGAGTAAGCGGCCCGTCACAGTAGAGTAAGCGACCCGTCACAGTAGAGTAAGTTGCCGGCAATCTTCAATATACCTCACGCGTAAATTGTTGCTACCATCGAGAGCACAATCCTCTCCTCCAAGAGCACAATCCTCTCCTCCTGGAGCACAATCCTCTCCTCCTGGAGCACAATCCTCTCCTCCAAGAGCACAATCCTCTCCTCCAAGAGCACAATCCTCTCCTCCAAGAGCACAATCCTCTCCTCCAAGAACACAATCCTCTCCTCTTGGAGCACAATCCTCCTCTCCTAGAACACAACTACACGTGAAGAACGTCACTGATACTATCCTGGGAACGTTAAAATGTTTGCTGAACGGAAAACTGGATAATATCCAAACATCATCTCTAATATACTCTGTATTTGTTCCCATTCCAAAGAACAGTCGAGGTGCTATGTTCTCCTCTGATAGTTCTGGAACTATTGCTGTAAACACATTATTAAACAAATTATTTGATTTATGTACTCAGTGATTTATGTACTTTAGTGTCCCCGCGGCCTGGTCGAGGACCGGGCCACGGGGACACTAAAGCCCCGAAATCATCTCAAGATAACCTCAAGATAGTGACTCCCTGATGAGCTAGGCTCCCTCTGACTAGTGTATAAACTGCTTATTATTCAACAACGTTTTGCAGTGTCGTGACTCGCGAAACTATTTGGCTCGGTTATAGAACTTCGGCACTTGGGCCCCGCCTCTTGACTGTCAATCAACTGGTGTACAGGTTCCTGAGCCTACTGGGCTCTATCATATCTATACTTGAAACTGTGTATGGAGTCAGCCTCCACCACATCACTGCCTAATGCATTCCATCTGTTAACTACTCTCACACTGAACAAAATATTTCTAACGTCTCTGTGGTTCATTTGGGTACTAAGTTTCCACCTGTGTCCCCTTGTTCGTGTCCCACCCGTGCTAAATAGTTTGTCTTTGACCACCCTGTCAATTCACCCTGAGAATTTTGTAGGTGGTTATCATGTCTCCCCTTACTCTTCTGTTCTCCAGGGACGTGAGGTTTAGCTCCCATAGCCTTTCCTCGTTGCTCATACCTCTCAGTTCCAGGACGAGCCTGGCGGCATACCGCTGAATCTTCTCTAACTTTGTCTTGTGTTTAACTAGGTATGGACTCCAGGCTGGAGCTGCATACTCCTGGATTGGTCTGACATAAGTGGTATACAAGGTCCTGAACGATTCCTTACACAAGTTTCTAAAGGGAGTTCTTATGTTGGCCAATCTTGCATATGCCGCTGATGTATGTGTGGTTGTAATATGTGGCTGTAATGTGTGCCTGTAATGTGTGCCTGTAATGTGTGCCTGTAATGTATGTGTGTTGGGTTATTATTGTGACTGTTATGTAATTCATGTGTAGTTTTTTTATGTAAGTTTTCGCCGTTTACATAAAATTCTACTGCGACTCAGCGGGTTTTTTTTTCTACCACAGACGTGGCCACACATTTAGAGTGGGCGGCCGGTCACAGTGAGCGATTTCGGGGCTTAGCGTCCCCGCGGCCCGGTCCTTAACCAGGCCTCCTTTTTGTTACCCCCCCCCCCTCCAGGAAGCAGCCCGTAGCAGCTGTCTAACTCCTAGGTACCTATTTACTGCTAGGTGAATAGGAACATCAGGGTGAAAGACACTTTGCCTATTTGTTTCCGCCTCCACCGGGGATTGAACCCGGAACTTTAGGACTACGAATACCGAGCGCTGTCCACTCAGCCGTCAGGCCCCGCATAGTTGACGGGTGGGCACGGCGTAGGGGGTTGGGCATGGGGGGGGGAGGGTGGGATCGAGCAAGATTTTCGGTCACGGTCTAATGAATTAGCGTAGGCGGGTATGACGGGTACTGGGCGGGCGGGTATGGGGGACGGGGGGGTATGGTGGGTACGGGGCGGGCGGGTATGGCGGGTACGGGGCGGGCGGATATGGCGGGTACGGGGCGGGCGGGTATGGCGGGTACGGGGCGGGCGGATATGGCGGTACGGGGCGGGTACGGCGGTACGGGGCGGGCGGGTACGGGGGCGGGCAGGTATGGCGGTACGGGGCGGGTACGGCGGTACGGGCCGGGCGGGTATGGAGGTACGGGGCGGGTATGGGGGTACGGGGCGGGCGGGTATGGAGATACGGGGCGGGTATGGGGTTACGGGGCGGGCGGGTATGGCGGGTACGGGACGGGTATGGAGGTACGGGGCGGGCGGGTATGGCGGGTACGGGGCGGGTATGGCGGGTACGGGGCGGGCGGGTATGGCGGTTACGGGGCGGGTATGGCGGGTACGGGGCGGGCGGGTATGGCGGGTACGGGGCGGGCGGGTATGGCGGGTACGGGGCGGGCGGGTATGGCGGGTACGGGGCGGGCGGGTACGGGGCGGGCGGGTATGGCGGGTACGGGGCGGGCGGGTATGGCGGGTACGGGGCGGGCGGGTATGGCGGGTACGGGGCTGGTATGGCGGTCCGGGGCGGGTATGGCGGGTACGGGGCTGGTATGGCGGTCCGGGGCGGGTATGGCGGGTACGGGGCGGGTATGGCGGGTACGGGGCGGGCGGGTACGGGGTGGGCGGGTACGGGGCGGGCGGGTATGGCGGTCCGGGCGGGCGGGTATGGCGGGTACGGGGCGGGCGGGTATGGCGGGTACGGGGCGGGCGGGTATGGCGGGTACGGGGCGGGCGGGTATGGCGGGTACGGGGCGGGCGGGTATGGGGCGGGCGGGTATGGCGGGTACGGGGCGGGTATGGCGGGTACGGGGCGGGCGGGTATGGCGGGTACGGGGCTGGTATGGCGGTCCGGGCGGGTATGGCGGGTACGGGGCTGGTATGGCGGGTACGGGGCGGGTATGGCGGGTACGGGGCGGGCGGGTACGGGGCGGGTATGGCGGGTACGGGGCGGGTATGGCGGGTACGGGGCGGGCGGGTACGGGGCGGGCGGGTATGGCGGGTACGGGGCGGGCGGGTATGGCGGGTACGGGGCGGGCGGGTACGGGGCGGGCGGGTATGGCGGGTACGGGGCTGGTATGGCGGTCCGGGGCGGGTATGGCGGGTACGGGGCTGGTATGGCGGGTACGGGGCGGGTATGGCGGGTACAGGGCGGGCGGGTATGGCGGGTGTCGGGGCTGACACCGTTCTCACGCTGCCGCCAGTTTTTCCCACGTGGTGGTGCGCGGGTCGGCCACCAGGGCGCAGCACCGGCCGCGCGCCACACTGGCCAGACACAGACGCAGCGGCCAGTCAGTCCCCAGCGCCCGCCGCGAGCTCTAGCACCCATCCCGAGTCTCGCTGAGCTCACATGTGCCGCGCCTGACGAGTCTCCAGGGACCACCAGTAAAAAAATAAAAAAACAGTCCCATCGCCAGAGATATGAAGGTGGAACGCGCCAGCTCCGTGTGTTCTGATGACGCGCCTTCCTCGCCGGACTCCATCATGTCCGCGGGAGAGTCCTCGCCGCAGCCCTCTCCTGCGCCCCTTACCGACCCCTACGACGACCAGCGGATCTATTCCCCCGCCTACACGGCGCACAGCCCCGCCTACAGCACCACCAGCAGCAGCAGTAGCAGTAGCGGCTCCGAGAGCACCGGGGGCGCCTCCCCCGCCTACAGCTGCCCCGCCAGTCCGGGCTACCAGCGCTCGGCCTCTCCCGACTTCGCCTTCCAGTTCCCACCCGACTCCGGCTATCCTGGAGTGGAGCAGTTCGGGTGTCAGGCGGAGTTCGTGCGGGCCGTGCAGGACGGCGACCCGCGCGAACTGAAGCGGATCCTGACGCGGTACTCGCAGCTGGTGCAGATTAACGGCTTCACCGCGGACGGGCAGACGGCGCTGACGCAGTCGTGTATGGACGGTAACCTGGAGGTGATCAAGGTGCTGGTGGCGCACGGCGCGTCGCTCCACCTCACCAACCGCGACGGGTTCTCGCCGCTGCACCTGGCGTGCTGGCGAGGCAAGTATGAGGTGATGCAGTACCTCCTCCGCTCCGCCTCCAGCAGTCGGTAGTAGTTGTGATATATACCCCCCCCCTCGACCCCCCGTCCCTTCTTCCTCATACCCCTCATTACCCTTCCTGCCCCCCCTAGTGACCCGTGCCATGTGTGTGTGTGCGTGCTGGGCAGCAGTGCCGTGGCAGCGCCAGGGACGGCCACGACTCGCCCTGTGCAATATTGTGCGTGTCGGCCAGAACTCTTTGGTGGCCGGCCAGTAATGTTTTATTAGTCTGTGATGTTGACGTGGGAGTAACCGCTGCGCCGCCCCCCCTGACACGACCACCACCGACCAGGGGGGCCGCCGCGCCCCCCGCTAGCTGCCACCGACCTCTAGGTCGCTCAGCCCCACAAGTTACCTCAGTATTATTCTTCACGGGCGTGTGCAGCGACCTGGGCGGCGGCTCCTGCTGCCCTGGAGCAGCAGCAGCAGCAGCAGGAGGAGGAGGAGGGCTGCGCCCTGGCTGTCTCCTGCTGGAGACACCCGCCACACCACCTCACATGTACTCTGACGCCGTGTGGTTACTTTGGTGACTGAACAAGGGAAACACAGGCGCGAGAAGTGATGACGCGGCTGGTGGTGGTGACGCTACAGATGTGCAATAAGTGAAGGTCGTTACCCCTGGGTGTTGTGATGCTCTGATGGTGAACGATCGTAAAATACCTGTTTTTTTCTCCCCCATTTCCTTCCTTCTTCCTGTGTGATACACCACCACTGCAGCAGTGAAAGTGTATTGAAAGTAAAAAAAATTATATCTTGTGTACTGCTGTCTCGTTCGCACCTGGCCTGGACTGTTGTGTACAGGTGCTGGGGGCTTCTGCAAGCAGCTAGCTGTTCCTCAAGCGGACCTTACACACCACGACACCCCATCTACACCCCCAACCTTCTTCGCGTTGCTTTCACGCCTTAACAAATACAATGGTGTGTGTATGTGTGTGTGTCATTTCACGAAATGTGGCTGGGAGAATGTTGCATTGACGGGCAACATCTGAACGAGGTCCTGGTATTGAGGGGTTCCGCAGGACGCCACTCCCCGTGTGTTCCTCTCCCAAGCACAAGCGCTTGGGACAAGTGATCTGAATGGGAGATTTGCTGAAGACAACTTTATTGCTAAACCTGCGTTATATAGAGTACATGTTTATTATCTCTACGGGAGCTCCAACGACCCTTCTTACCTTCTGCAGTAGTCTGCAGATCTCCGGAAGGTGCAGGAATGCATCCATCAGCTCCAGTAGGATCTCTTAAGACCTGGAATGAATCTATCCATCTTCTGCAGTAGACTTTATGGAAAGTGCAAGAACCTCTTCCATCTCCTTCAAGCCAACGTCTGTGTAAACGGTCGGGAATGATGCAGAGACACAGCCCCTTCAGTGTACGTGTATGTGTGTGTGTGTGGGGCGCAGCGTGTGTCGTCAGACAGACAGAGAGACAGAGAGATAGACGCCAGCCAGCTTGAGGGGGCGTGCAGTGATATAAACTTGATCGTGCCTTAAGAACCTATACGTTAAGTTGTTATTATCTGTTGAGATGTTTCCATATTTACAACAGTCTTCGGGGGCGTTTTTCCCCCCTCCCATCTGTGTGGGGGGGGAGGAGATCCCTATATTATTATTATAAACTTCAGATATGATCATATATTTCTGAATTATAGCAATATTTTTATACCTGTGCATTTGTATATCCTTCCATATATATATATATACCTTGATAATGAGCGTGCTAAAACCAGACGAGGCTTTTATATCAATTGTCAAAGAATCATGACAAGTGACTTATAAAAATGAAAGATAATGTTTCTATTCAACATTTTAATAATACATTCTGATGCACTCTATTCGGCTCAATCACTCTAAGATGTCGGATGTTACATCAAACTCCGGGTGTGTTCTAGAGTAAAAGGCTAGGCCTATCAAGGAGTGCCGGACCAACCGGGCTGTGGTGGGTATGTGGGCCTGCGGGCCGCTCCAAGCAACAGCCTGGTGGACCAAAGTCTCACAAGTCAAGCCTGGCCTCGAGCCTGGCTTGGGGAGTAGAAGAACTCCCAGAACCCCATCAACCAGGTATCAACCAGGTATCTTAAGAAGATTTCTGAGCCTATGATTGCAATAACGAACATTGGAGCTAGTTCTGTGCTAAAGCAAAATAACTATATCTAGTTCTGTGCTAAAAAAAAATAGTATGCCTAGTTAAATGCTAAAATGAATAGCCCTAATTCTGTGCTATAAAAGTACTTGGTCTAGTACTGTACTAAAGTGAACACTTTGATAAACACTAGTTGTGTTCTCTGATGAACACTTAGTTGTGTTCTGTGAACACCTGGTTGTGTTCTGTGATGAACACTTACTTGTGTTCTGTAATGAACACCTGGTTGTGTTCTGTAATGAACACTTAGTTGTGTTCTGTAATGAACACCTGGTTGTGTTCTGTAATGAACACTTAGTTGTGTTCTGTAATGAACACTTTGTGTTCTGTAATGAACACTTTGTGTTCTGTAATGAAAACCTGGTTGTGTTCTGTAATGAACACTTAGTTGTGTTCTGTAATGAACACCTGGTTGTGTTCTGTAATGAACACCTGGTTGTGTTCTGTAATGAACACTTAGTTGTGTTCTGTAATGAACACCTGGTTGTGTTCTGTAATGAACACTTAGTTGTTCTGTAATGAACACCTGGTTGTGTTCTGTAATGAACACTTAGTTGTGTTCTGTAATGAACACCTGGTTGTGTTCTGTAATGAACACCTGGTTGTGTTCTATAATGAACACCTGGTTGTGTTCTGTGATGAACACTTAGTTGTGTTCTATAGTGAACACCTGGTTGTTCTGTGATGAACACTTAGTTGTGTTCTATAATGAACACCTGGTTGTGTTCTGTAATGAACACCTGGTTGTGTTCTGTAATGAACACTTAGGTGTGTTCTGTAATGAACACTTAGTTGTGTTCTGTAATGAACACTTAGTTGTGTTCTGTAATGAACACTTAGTTGTGTTCTGTGATGAACACTAGTTGTGTTCTGTGATGAACACTAGTTGTGTTCTGTAATGAACACTTAGTTGTGTTCTATAATGAACACCTGGTTGTGTTCTGTGATGAACACTTAGTTGTGTTCTATAATGAACACCTGGTTGTGTTCTGTAATGAACACTTAGTTGTGTTCTGTAATGAACACCTGGTTGTGTTCTATAATGAACACCTGGTTGTGTTCTATAATGAACACCTGGTTGTGTTCTGTAATGAACACTTTGTGTTCTGTAATGAACACCTGGTTGTGTTCTATAATGAACACCTGGTTGTGTTCTGTGATGAACACTTAGTTGTGTTCTATAATGAACACCTGGTTGTGTTCTGTAATGAACACTTAGTTGTGTTCTGTAATGAACACCTGGTTGTGTTCTATAATGAACACCTGGATGTGTTCTATAATGAACACCTGGTTGTGTTCTGTAATGAACACTTTGTGTTCTGTAATGAACACCTGGTTGTGTTCTATAATGAACACCTGGTTGTGTTCTGTGATGATCACTTAGTTGTGTTCTATAATAAACACCTAGTTATGTTCTATAATGAACACCTAGTTGTTCTATAATGAATACCTAGTTATGTTCTATAATGAACACCTAGTTATGCTCTATAATGAACACCTAGTTATGCTCTATAATGAACACCTAGTTATGTTCTGCAATAAACCTTCATACTGAACAATAATTGTTCATAATGAACACAAGCTCTCGATAATGAACACACAAAAAATTCTGCTTCAAAACAATGTTATTGTCTTTTTTAACGAGTCATATTGAGTTGAACACTGGCTGCTTGCTTTGAACAGAGAGGAGAAGGAATGCTTGCTTTGAACAGAGAGGAGAAGGAATGCTTGCTTTGAACAGAGAGAAGGAATGCTTGCTTTGAACAGAGAGGAGAAGGAATGCTTGCTTTGAACAGAGAGAAGGAATGCTTGCTTTGAACAGAGAGGAGAAGGAATGCTTCGAAAGTGGGCAGAGTTTCTTTCACCCTATGCCCCTGTTACCTAGCAGTAAAATAGGTACCTGGGTGTTAGTCAGCTGTCACGGGTTGCTTCCTGAGGGTGGAGGCCTGGTCGAGGACCGGGCCGCGGGGACACTAAAGCCCCGAAATCATCTCAAGATAACCTCAAGATAGAGGAAGAGACAAATGGGCAAAATGTTTCTTTCATCCTGATGCCCCAGTTACCTATAGGTACCTGGGAGTTAGACAGCTGTCACGGGTTGCTTCCTGGGGGTGGAGGCCTGGTCGAGGACCGGGCCGCGGGGACACTAAAGCCCCGAAATAATCTCAAGATAACCTACAATGGGTTACATTGTTGCTAAGCCCCTAAGAAGCACATATATAAGAGTTTCGGGCAAGATTACATGGGCCGAAACTAGTGTGACTACATATTACCTTCT